GCCTTGAGGTTAGGGCCAAAATAGCAAGTGGCCTTGTTGATTTTTCTTTCCCAAGGAGTAAGAAGAGGGGTGATGGGGGACTGTGAGTGGTTAGCCCCCAGTGTCAGATTCCCTGGGGGATTTTGCCTTTTGTTTTCACAAAAATTTTAACACATACCCTAAATTCCACTCTCCCCCTTCCTTATCTTTTGCTGTGCTTGCCTGTGAGCCTTGGCATTTCCCCACACAAAAGTTCAGGCTGCCAGGTTGGAACATTCTGATCTGGTTAGTGGGCTGTTTCTGCCCTCGAGGCTGTCTTTACTTCATCACTCCGAGTGCTAGGCTGTGGATGCTGTCATTTTGGGACTTCCAAGGGTCCGGTTCTTTGTTCAGCTTTCACTGTCTTCTCCTCTTCTTCCTTCCACTTGCCCGACTAGAAAGCCCATCTTGCCCAGGCTGTGCAGTCCTCTGCCCCAAGCCCTTCTCAGAACATCCTGCCCTGCGCTTTCTTGGGTCCCCTCCCCTCTTGTGCTCATTTGAGTTTTCAGGACACGCTAAAGCAGTGGTTCTCAACCTGTGGGTCGCGACCCCTTTGGGGGTCGAACGACCCTTTCACAGGGGTCACCGAAGACCATCGGAAAACACATATATAATTACATATTGTTTTTGTGATTCATCACTATGCTTTAATTATGTTCAATTTGTAACAATGAAAATACATCCTGCATATCAGATATTTACATTACGATTCATAACAGTAGCAAAATTATAGTTATGAAGTAGCAACGAAAATAATTTTATGGTTGGGGGTCACCACAACATGAGGAACTGTATTAAAGGGTCGCGGCATTAGGAAGGTTGAGAACCACTGCTCTAAAGGATGTTGCTGAGTAAGAGACAGGCAAAAGGAGGGGGTGGGTCCTCCCAGTACAGCTTGTAGAGTCAGTTAAACGCCTGGTAGGGAAAAATGTACAGACTACTTGGTGGAAAGTGTTCTTGTCAGGATGGAACTTGTCCCCTTTGTGCCTGATGCTGGGGACAGTGTGGAGGGTGAATGGCCATGTCTGAAACAAACATGCAGACCAAATTAACCTGGGAGAGTAAATGTATTCTACATTAAAAAGTCCATCCTTTTGCCCTGGCCAGGTAGCTCAATTGGTTAGAGTGTCGATACGATACACCAAGGTTGCGGGTTCGATCCCCGGTCAGGGCACATATAAGACACAACCAGTGAATGCATAAATAAGTGGAACAACAGGTTGATGTTTCTCTCTTTCCCTTCCTCTCTCAAATCAGTTTTATAAAAAAAGTTCATCATTTCCCCTGAAGTTAAAACATGGGTCCTCATGGATTGGAAAGCTCTTCTGGCAGGCTAAAGACGATGGGGCGGGACTGTGGAGCAAAGAGCTTGTGGGTGTCTCTGAATATGACTGTATGGCATGTGGTCTTGTGAAAATCTAGCAGTATTTCACCATCTTCTTTGCCTGTCATATCTTTTGGAAAACAAGCTGCTGGCTGTCAAGGTAAAGATCCCTGGGACTACTTCAGGCAGATCTTCTTAGGAATGTTCATTGTCATGTTGTATCTCCACCCCCCTTAACCCC